GAATGAAATTCTTTATTTTGTGTTTTATTTATTTTTTTGTTATTTTCCAAGTTCATAAAAAATATTTTTCTTTTAGATTTTCGAGATTTCAGAAAAACTGTTGTTGTTCTTGAAAGGGTTTTGATTATTTCTACAAAAAGATATATTTCTTTTATTTATTTTAATCTGAAGTAAATGTTTTAATTCATAGAAGTTTTCTTAATTATTTTCTGGTTACGCAATTTCTAAAAAAAGTTAGGTGTTTTTGGTACTTTTTAATTTACTACTTATCAAGTCTTTGAAATAATGAGTTTTGTGTTGATATTTTTGAAGATTTATTAAGAATTGAGGATTTCTTTTTGAATTTCATTCAAGATTTTTCGTAATTTTTTCTGGTTGATGAAGGAGTTTTATGTTTGTGTTTTATGTTTTGTATTATAAGTTTATTATTATTTAATGTAAAGGATATAACCGTCAAATAAAGTTATTATTATTATTATTACGATTTTTCGTAATTTTTCCTTGTTTATAATGGATTTTGACGCAGGAATTTTTGAGTTGGATTTTTTTTGAAATATTTTGACAAATATATATAGTTTTAATTCTTTCAACTTTGACTATTTTTAAATATAATAAATCGTACTTTTCCTTATTTTAAAATCACTGATTTGGAGTAAATCCTCATTGTTTAAAAATTAATTAACTATAAAAATCCATAAACAGAAATAAGTAAAATGGTAAGAAAATGGTTAAATGATAATTTTTTAAAGTTTTATAAAATGTTTTGATCTAAAAATGAATCTTTAAAATAGTGGATTTCTGATACAAAAAACATAATTTTTTTTTTAATTTATTTAAATCCTAAATAATAATAGAAATTTCTAAGAATTATAAATGTTTTTTTAACCTTTATTTTGATACGAAATTTCTGAAAAAAAATTCTTCTATGTTGTTGTGGACCTTTTATTGGAAATCTTTTTTTGTTTGTTGATATATTTGGGGTTTATGGAATAAGGACACATTTCAGAAAAACATTGTATTGTATTTCATGAGATTCAGTAGAATTTTCTGAAAATCCTGATAACTTTTGTAAACAAAATAGTTTTTTGGCATTTTTTAAAGTTTTTTAAATTATTTTTTTCCTGAAAGAAACGAGTCCTATTTTCCTTCAGCAATTTTCTAAGTGTATATTTTTCATGAAAATTGGGGTTTGTTGCCTTTTTAAAATTACGAAATTCAACATATTTTTTCAGAATTTGTATTTAGTCTTTTGTAGCATTGTAATATATCTCAAAAAACTGATTCTACATACATTATTTCATCACATTTTGCCACTTGTCCACATTGTCTTGATATTTCATGGAATTAGAAAGATTTATTTAGATTTTTTGTTGTTTTTTTATTTTTTAGTACAAAAAACATCCAATTTGATGTTTACGGTAATGTTAAGTAAATAATTCAACCAAATGCAAAAACTGAAAAAACCCGGAAGGATTCTCTAAGGATTATGAATGTTTTTTTTGTGATTTCACAAACATTGTTGCTTTCCAGGGCATTAAAATGTTTACACACAACTGTTGCACCGGAGATAACCTAGCCGCTTTTTCTCCTCCGGAAGCATTATTAAAACCCTGCATCTATCTCTAGATAATCTCCTGTCAAAACAGAATCAAATAAATGTGTGTGTGGCTGCAAAGGTCGCCTAAACAATGCATTTATCAGCACAATTTGACAGCGGACGTGGTCAAAGTTTAAGATTTTCGCATTATTTTGGGCATTTCTCTCACACACCTTTCAAATGACTTATCGATTTTACAAATTTGCATTGTCCTCAAACAATTTTTCTTATTTCTGTGATGTAGAGAAAAGAAATGGCTTTTTGATTGTTTTGTATATTCGAGGCATGTGTGTCGATTGAAAAGAAATTTTAATTCAACGGCGGAAATAAGCTCTAAATTGAAAAAAATTCAAACAAATAATCACACCGTGAAGACTTCATTCGAATACAAGATTTTTAATTAGAGTTAATAGAGTTAATAATAGAGCTTTAGAAGCGCGAAAAAGGTAGAATAAATAGTTACGAGACGTGAGTGGAAATTTCAAATATTTAATTCACTTTTTTTCGTTGTAAAGAATGTGTTTTTTAATAAACACGCATGTAATATATCAGAGTTATCGCCAGACGACAAAAATGGTGGAGGCGCCGGGTCAGGACAATTAAATTTTCAGAATTTGACCTTTTTACAGTTTGTGTAGAAAAGAAAATTCAGCGGAAAACCTTAATATTATGAAAACGAGCTTCATGAAAGTTTAACTTTGTTTTTTGGGCAGAGATAAGGGAGATATTAGGAAATATATCATGTGAGATGTTTTATCAGAAATTTTTGACACTTGCGAGAGAAGTTTTGCAATTAAACGGGTGCTAAAATAAATAATAAAAAAGTTAATTATCACAACTGTCTTTTCATATCGTTTCGCAAATATTTAGTTTGTTATTAAGTTTTTTTTCCTATTATTTCGCATCCGGTTCTACCAATAAAACCGATTTGATAAATATTGGCTCGTGTATCGTAAACTTATTTATATTGATAACAATACAGATTGCTTGCAGAGGATATTTTTATAGCAAGTTATGAAAAAATTCTATTGTGCTATATTAACAGGCTACTTTTCAGATTAACTCGTTATTTCGTTGATTCAGTCGCTGTAATTACGCTTTTTCAGCCTAAGAGCTTTTACATTAACCTGAATTTAAATCTATTCATGCAGATACACCTCTAATTTATTTAAAAGTAGCGAATTTCAGTGGGTACAAATTAGTATTTAATTTTTTATCTATTTGTTTCCACTGAAAATTGAGTAGAATGAAACTAATGATCTACCACAAGTGTTTTACATGCAACAGGTTAATTGCGACTATGCCGCGCCCATTGTCAACCCTTTATCATTTCTATTTGTCTGGAAAAAACGTAATTGAATTAATTCAGGAAATTTTTTCCATGAAAAATCGATTTTTCAGTTAGTGGTTTATACAAACTGAATAAATAAAACTTTGATTTAATTTGCGTTTTTTAACAAAATTTTGCTTAACTAAATTGCTTAACTAAATTTTTCGAAAAACATCGGTTTCAATGGTTTTAAAGCAATTTTTACAGATGAGTTAGTTTCTCTTTTAAAATGGGTCAAAATAACACCAATTTTGATCTAATTTAATAGTTGTTTGGTTTTTTTCACAAAATTTCACAAAATAAATGAGTTTCTTGTTCAAAAACAAATTAATTTTTTTTAAATAGTGTCGGTTTTGATTTAATTTGCTATCAATCAATCAAATAAAGTTCTTGATGATTTTTTGTTTTCTTATGGAAATAAGGGTTAAAATGAACTAAATCGAGCCAAAATAATGTCAGTTTTGACGAAATTTTCTGATTTTCTTGTTTCAACTTTAGAACAACGTCTGAAAAGTAAGTTAAATGAGTTATTTTCGTATTTCTTGACCTAGAAATTTTGATAATTTCAAGTAATACATTTCACGCTTTTCCAGTCTATTATATTTCCCAATTTTAGCAAAATATTTTTAACTAGATTATAATTCAGGAAAAAATTGTATTTTTTAGTCAAAAATCGATTTTTCACTTAGAGAGGTTAATTAGAAAATTCTGAAATTTATAAAAAATTAAATAAATAGAATTTTGATTTCATTTGTTTTTTTTTGACAAAAAACAAACTAAATTTTTCAAAAAAACATCAGTTTGGTGATTTTAAAGTCATTTTAAGGCAATTTCATCAGATAATTTAGTTTCTCTTTTAAAACTGGTCAAAATAACATCAATTTTGATCTAATTTAATGATTGTTTGGCTTTTTTTACAAAATTTTACGAAATAAATGAGTTTCTCGTTCAAAAATAAGCTAAAATTTTTGAAATAGTGTCAATTTTGATTTTTAACAAAATTTGTTGAAACAAATAAAATTCTTGGTTAAAATGAATTAAATCAATAAGCAAAAATAGCGTTATTTTCTATTTAAAATTAGTGAATTTTTGTTTTTTAACGAAATAAGGATTTAAAATGAAATAAATCGAGCCAAAATAATGTCAGTTTCGACTAAATTTTCCGTTTTTTTTTGTTTTAACTTTAGAACAGCAATTGAAATGTAAACTAAACAACTAATTTTTTTACATATTTTGACCTAGAAATTTTGATAATTACAATCATTTCAAGTAATACATTTCACGTTTTTCCAGTCTTCTATGTTTTCCAATTTTTTGCAAAATATTGTTTCAATTTTTAACTAGATTATAATTCAGGAAAAATTTGTATTTTTTTAGTCAAAAATCGATTTTTTACTTAGTAAAGTTAATTCTAAAATTTTTCGGTGGGTTTATACAAATTAAATAAATAAAACTTTGATTTAATTTGCTTTTTTTGACAAAATTTTGCTTAAAAACGAACTAAATTTTTCAAAAAAACATCAGTTTTGATGATTTTAAAGTCGTTTCAAAGCAATTTCAAGAGATAATTTAGTTTGTTCCTTAAAATTGTTCAAAATAACACCAATTTTGATCTAATTCAATGATTGTTTGGCCTTTTTCACAAAATTTCACAAAATAAGTAAGTTTCTTGTTCAAAAACAAGCTAGAATTTTTGAAATTGTGTTAATTTTGATCCAATTTGGTATTTTTTTACAAAATTTGGTGAAACAAATAAAATTCTTGGTCAAAATAAATTAAACCAAGCAAAAATAGCGTTAATTTTTATTCAAATTATTGAATTTTTTTAATGAAATAA